TTTACTTCTTCCTTGTGCTTTTCTGGTAAACGGTACGGTCGGACGTTGACCGGTACGCTGCCCGCCTTCGTGGTAATCTTATGCGCGACGATATCAGTGCATGTCAGTGGTTCTCCTTCCACATGCAATACATCGCTGTAATCTCTGCAAATTTCCATAATGGTTTTCTTTTCTTCTTCGTTTAAGTGTTGTGTGCGTATCAATTTTTCGACTTTTTCGCTACGCGGCATTGTTTCTTCTGCCTTGTCTACTTGGTTTATTTCTATCTCTTTTGCTTCTTCTTGCTCTAACTCTTCTAATGTTACTTGCGGCATTAGCATTTCGACTGTCTCCTCCGTCGTATTTAGTATGCTTGCCGGACATAGAAAGTTTTCTGGCATCACTAGGCAATTTCCTATGAACACTCCTGGCATTGTCTCTTCTGCCTGTATTATTCCTAGTGAATTTTTATCGGTCGCGACTTGTACTATTGTCTCGCTTCGCGGTTTCAAAACCATTTTCTTATACGGGTATAATTTTAATGTGCTATTCCCTATGCGTATTGCGCTCGACTCGTAACTATATGACGCTCGATGTTTCTTTATAAAATCTACGCCTAGTATTCCGTCGTATTCAATCGGAAAATCATCCTTGACGACATATATCGTGTGCTTGATCTTTCTATCTTTCAAGTCAATAGTTGCTGTAAATTTTCCAATCGTATGGGCTTTATGACCTGTTACTCCTGTAAGGGCCATTTTATCCTCTTCTATCATTGTTTCGCCTTTCAAATGTTTTACTTTTATTATTGATACGGCCGCTCCGGTATCGAACAGTAAATTTATTTTTTCGCGCTTCGCTTCTCGCATGGGCAGAGTGATTAAGTCCAGCCCTGCATGCTTTCGCGGCTTGTTCGTCAGGTGTGACATCTGATACTCTAACGCCGGTCGGCGCTGCTTTGTGTCCTCTTTATCTTCCTCATCGCTATTCGCGGCTGAATTACTGTCCTGTTTTCTCGGGCCATTCGTTTTCGGGTGAAAATTTTTATTTTGTCCTCGCGGATTATTAGGTTTGTTGTGATTCGTCCTTTCTTTATTTGGTCGACCATTTAACAACCAACATTCTTCGCGCATGTGTCCTGCCTTCTTGCAGTAATTGCAGACTTTATCTATCGCGTTTACGCGGGGTGTCCTATCGGGTTTCGGTAAGGAGAAACGGTTCGCATATCTATTGGTACGACATTCCCTTCCGAGGTGTCCGTATTTTCCACATTTTTGGCATTGTACTATCGATCGGTTATCGCGCGGTTGCGGCGAGTACGCATAATTATTTTTGGGACGCGGCGGAATTCCACTCGGCCCGTTTACTTTTTCCTCGGCGCTCGCTCCGGCAATCGCTTCTTGCAATGTTGCGAAATGCTGAGCTCGGACAAGTAACTTGATCTCGTCTCTCAATCCTAATTGAAAATTCTGTAATGCCTGTTGTTGAATCGTTTCTAATATAGTTCGCTTGCTTTCTATGGTGTGATTTCTTCCCTCTATCATGGAGTCGTATAGCTCCATCGCTAGCTTATCGGCTCTTAATCCGAATGCTCTTGCATTTTCTCCGGGTTTTTGCTTGAGTGTATTAAACTCTAGTTGTAAGTGTGTTGTGCTTTTGCGGCTCAAATAGCAAACTTCTAATTCTTTCTTTAGTTGTGCGAAATTTCTTATCTCTCGCGTTTGAAAGTCTATCATCGCTCTTCCTTTTAGCTTTGTGCATAGCACTGCTTCTAATAGCGTTCCTTCTTCCATAGGATTTATGTTTTTCATTGCATATGACGCGGCGCTTAAGAATTCTTGTAATTTACTCGAGGTTCCGTCGAACTCAGGTATCATGTCTCGTGCCTCTTTTAAACGTAGATATCCGATTGCGCGCTCCGCTTGGTTCCGAATATCATATGACGTTCTTCCGTACGTTACTTCGAACGGGAGGTTACTTGGCTCGCGTCTCGCGTGAAATTCGCGGCGTTCAGGATTCGCCGTTTCTAGTTGATTTACGCGATCTTGTAAGTTGCGGATTCCGTTTAATATCTCGTCGAGAATGGAATCTCTATCGTCTCGCGGCGGTTCGGCCCGTGCGGGTATCCGGTTACGGTGATTCGCCGGGGTGCCTCTTTGTGATAGCACTCGATTAAGACGGTTTATTTCTTCGTCTATTTCCTCTGGGGTTATCGGCGCGTTGTCATTTACGTTATTCGCGTCGTGGTTGCTATTTGTTGTTTCCGCCATCTCGATTACGTTCGCGTGTCTCGGGGCAGAATAATATTCTTGCGGGTCAAATACGCTACTATCGTACGAGGTCAATGAAAACTCTCGTCTGTGCGTACGCCTACTGGTCGTACTGTTCGCGTCTTCGGATTGTACGTGCGCGTGTGAGGGGTGGAGTCTATTTTCGCCGGGGCAGTTATTTTGCCCTATTACTCTCGCGTCTAAAATTATAACAGAATCGTCGGTTTGTTCGCGTTCGATTACGCTGTTCTGATGTAGTTCCGATTCTGATTCGCTTTCGCTTGAGTAGTACGCGTCTAAATTTCTACGCACGGTTTCGCGATTGTCGCTTACGCCTTCTTCGGTCGTTTGCACGGGGCTTAACGGTCTATTTCTACGCGCTCGTCGTGACGTCTCGCTATGGAGCCACGATTGGTTTAGTTCCGCAGGTGGATTTTCGTTTTCCGACATCTACGGTGATTGCGCTTTACATAATTTGCTTAATCGACTTACATTACGGTCGCTAGTCGCATGTTGCTGGTCGGTGCTCGTGCCGCCTTATCTGTCGGTGAGCTTCCGTTGAGGTAGGTCGGCGCCTTCTCGGGTTACGCTGCTCGCTTGTCCCTCGTCGGCCGCTACCGTGTTGTCTGCTATTTTTGAATCTGGCTGCCTGTGTCTCCGTTGAGGATGTTGCACTGCCTCACTGATTCACTTATTTTTCTGTTTCAGCTGCCGTTCCCGTCTTCCTGCCACTGGATCCCTCACGCTGCCACCATTTTGTTGTGCCCTCTTTTTACGGCGGGACACCAGGGATCGTTTATCCACGGAGGAGGCGGGATTTATTAACAACACTTTGCAATAAAAGACAACTTTAATTAATCCACTTTGCGTACAATGATTACTCGCGTGAAACGCCCGTCGCTTCGAGACTCCAATTGCCCTCGTCTCTCCTGTTGTCGCTTCCTTTTCAATCCTCGTCTTGTCCTTCGATATCGCTGAGTTGCTCGATCGTATCTGGGCCGATCGCGCAACTCATCTTTTGCTGATTCGGCGTTGCGTAATTCTCTCGGGCTTTCGCGGTCGCGTTCCCTATTGTTATTCTCGGTCTTTCTTAATATTATTATTTTATACTATAATATAATTATTTTATTATTACATTTTAATTGGGGCCGCAACAAACATCTAATTGATAATTTCCCCAATAATGTACATAAAAAGGATCTAATCCGATGTTGTGTATGATTCCTGCTAATTTATTAAACCGCATTATATGTAAAGCTTTTATAGGATCTTCATGAATATATTTTTTTCGTAGTACTTCATGTTTTGCAGTGCGTAACACTTCAGCACTGTATAAATGTGGAGGTTCTAATATATCGTTGTGATCCATACATTGTTCTGCCATTTCTATTCTGTATGCCATTGCAGATTTTCCACGCATATTTTCTACAACAGTTTCTCTTATTGGTTTACGAAGATAACGTTTTCCGCAGCGTCCTTCTGCATTACCTTCTGTAAATCTGCAAGTTATCTTTGTACTTATATCATTTTTATCTGGATTGTCAATTTTACATTTAATAACTGAACCACAACGGCAACTTCCATTAGCATAGCCTGATTGACCATCACGAGATAGCTTATGGTTTTTAAAATTAAAACCACATGAAAGTTTAGTGGCTTCCCAAATCTTCTGACATAATACATGCTGCCACATCCCTGGTTGCAAAACTGTATGGTGTCTTATAGTTCTGTTACGTTTATCTGTCTTTCGATATTTCTTGAAAATTATCATGTCTTGAAAATCATTTTTTGGTATGTTTATTGTAAAAATCGTTTCTGTACTTGATTGCGATATGCACTGATCTGTCTCGTTATGCGATGTCGTAGATTCACTAATACTCGATTTATTTTTCGAGGTGTCATACTCTTCATTTTTCATAGAATCATCACTTGCATTTTGTTTATCAGAAGGAAAAGAATTCATTAATCGATCTCGAATGTTATATCTATTACATACAACAAATGTATAAAGAGCATTCGGTGTCATATAATCATCGAGCTGCTTCGATAAAGTCGACCATATCGCATCACACTTTGATATTATTTTCCCGTTATCAAGTACGATTTCATTTTTGTAATTTATTAAAACGTCAATCACTTTGGTCTTATCTATTTTAATAGGCCTTCCGCGGATAGGCATCATTATTTAATAGTCAAAGTATATTATCACAAAAACACGTGTGATAGCAAATACAACGGTATACTACTATTCACGGTGATGTAGACGGTAACTATACGCTATCACTATCACGATACTTTATACGATCTATCACGATGTTTTCACGTTCGCGTTACCGCATCGACTGACCGATCCGAAAGTCTCACCGATCTGTGGAAATAAAAGTCTATCATGAGCATGTATTATTGTCGGCAAGTTTCGAAGGAAAAGCGTCTAGACATCTAATAATCGAAGTACCTTTGTCGAACCGATTAACTTTGATCTTATCAAGCCGACATCTCGTCATATTCTTTTCGGCAAATAAACACCGCGATCGAGTCGACATCTCGTCATATTTTTTTTGGCAAATAAACACCGCGCTTCCGCTCGTTTACCACGTCTCGAGTGAAAGAACAGTATCGCCAATTCAGAGAGAGTCACTCGAGCTGCGTTCGGAAACGCTGAGATAGAAAGAGAAGGGAGTATACTCGTGTGCATTCGGGTGACGTTTCCGAACGCAGCCTTGGCGACACTCAGTAGTGAACTGTCGAGGATCGCGGATCGTGGACCGCGGATGGTAATCCGCTTGATAAAGTTAATTTACTTGATAAAGTTAAATTTCGAAGTTTTAGGAAGAATGGAAGTAGAAGGTAAGTTGTAAAATATCTTATGAATTTTCAAGAAGCGTTCCGTTAGCGCAGATATCGATAGCGCATCTGCGCTAACACTGATATATAAATAAATCACTTTTTATTTAACATATTTATTATTGTATTTCAATTGTATCGACTTAACTGGGCACAATTCAGTACAAAATCACGACGTTTCAGCTCTTGGTTTGGACTCTTTTCAAGTGTAAACTATAACATGACGTGACGCAAAATAATAAAAAGTCAATCTAACTATACGTAAAAAAAACTGCAATGTAAGTAATTACGTATGGTTAGATTGACTTTTTATTATTTTGCGTCATGTCTTGTTATAGTTTACACTTGAAAAGGGCCCAAACCAAGGGCTAAAACGTCGTAATTTTATACTGAATTGTGGTCAGTTAGGTCAATATAATTGAAATACATTCGTTAATCATTACTGGCAAGTTACAAAATTGGTTATATTTATATTTATTATTACGTATACCATATTAAAGATACAAAATTTTGATTTTTCATGTTAACAATTTATTTTAAGTTTGAAAGAAATGTCTGAAGCAAAACAAATAAACCAATATATATTATTATTGTGCAACTATTATTATTATTAGCACATTCAATGAATTAGATATTCGGATGATGAATAAGATAAAAAAAGAAATTGAATAACATTGTACATGGAATTATATTAAAATGTCTAATTTAATATAACCATTTATATTAAAATAGTTAATGACTAAGAGTGATACACAATGCTTGAATGCGTTAACTTTAAATAATTTGATTAATTAAACACCTCTAATTTAAAAAGTATTATGGCTTCAATATTTTAAAGACTTTTCTCTCTAAATGTCTTTAGAAATCCATCACTAATGGATATCAAGAGCTCTAGAACATTTTGTAGATATTTGCACAGAGAATGCAATAAATGCTAAAAATAAAACAATGTTATATAAAATTTTTGTAATGATTGATGGTTTACGTATTAATATACATATATATATATATATATATATATATATATATATATATATATATATAATTACATATTTGACATTTCAGATTGAAATAAAAAGCCAAAGATAAAAAGAAGTCAGTTATGGCGATCACGACAAAAAACCAAAGCTAGACGGCGACAGAAATTATGTATTTTTTCAGAAGACAGAGATAACAAAGAAAATGTAAACCCCCTGGAACAACCCCTGCAGCAACAACTTCCTCAACAACAATCCCTACAGCAACAACCTCCACAGCAGCCTCTGCAGCAACAACTACCAAAGCAACAACCACCAAAGCAACAACCACAGCAGCAACAACCAGTACAGCAACAGCAACCCCGGGAACAACAATTACCACAACAATATCGGCAACAACAACAACCCTTGCAACAATACCGGCAACAAAAATCCTTGCAACAACAACTGCAGGGAATAAACCAACATCAGCCTAATGTGCAGCCTCAAAGTGTACAAGTAATTATAAATACATATAATTTAAAAATATATATATATCAAACAATCGACACTTAATAATATAACATTATGATTGAAATAGATAATAAAATAGAATAGATAATACGAATAAATAATAAAATCATGCTTTCAATGAAAGATAACAACAAAAGCATTTATATTATATAATATAAAGTTCAATTTATGTTATATTACATTCTTGAATGATTTAAAAAAAATAGAAATAATTCTTTATATTATTTATCATATAATTTTTATATTAACTCAATCCAGTATAGTTAATAAAAAAAAATCATATCTACAGATTCCATTTTTAACAAAAGAAACCTGTAGATATGATTTTTTTTTTTTTTTTTTATTAAATACTGAGATAATTTTAAAAGTCATGGACAAAATGGAGATTAATAACATGTTGTTTCTTATTTATAAAAATTCTATTATACTACTCAAAATTATTAACAAAAAATCAGTATACGACAATTTATAAGTTTAAAAAAAATTGACTTTTGCAGAATATTTTTGTGAAAAAGTCTAGGCACTGTTTCCTACTGAAATAAATATATAGAAATAAAAAATGAAAAAGATAATATATCAGAAGATTAAACAGTAAATGATTTATAATGATTATTATCTACAAACATTTTGTCTATAATAGTAAACATGCAACAGAATTCTATTTACCTTTACCTAACCAATTTTTATTTCTTATTTACAATTATTTATTATATAGTATTACACACACACACATATATAATACACGCGCGTGCATACACACAGAAAAATATAAACTACCTGCAAGTTAATATTACTTGATTCAAGTATTTGATAAGTTCATATATGAGCAAATCTACCATAAAGTCGTCATAAGTATCACATTTACTCAAAACATATTCTAGATCTTAGCAAGTTTAGTACTTGAAACAAGAATATTAAATTAATACGAACATTTTGTTTACTTACAATATAGAGTCCACGGAAGAGAAGCATATACTTCAATAAAGATATTACATTTTCTTGAGAGAAGTTTATCCGTTATTTGAATCAAGTAAAAATTTTATTCATCTAGAATAATCGTTTACTTCAAAAAAGAATTTGTATTCTCGATGATTACAATTAATATTATTTTTATTTTTTTAATTTTCTTTAATTCTTTAGTTCCTAAGTGGAATGTAGGTTAGGAGGTTTTCGTGCGCGGTGCGGAGGGGTAGTACTTACAGTTTAGAATATAAAAATTCCTGTCTTCAGGTGGACTTGAACCCGGTTCCTCGTGGTTATGAGTCTGACACTTTATCACTAGGCCACATCTCTGATTATATTCTTAGTGTTGCAGTATCTAGTTTTCACAGAAGTAATTTATTGATTTCAAGTATTTCATAATCTTTCCTAAAGAATCAGTAAATATTCAAATCAAGCTTATGTGGCTTTTCTTAGATAAAGTTTACAGAATATACTTGAAATTAATGAATCACTTTCTGTCAAAACTAGATACTGCAGCACTAAAAATATAATCAGAGATGTGGCCTAGTGATAAAGTATCAGACTCATAACCACGAGGAACCGGATTTCAAGTCCACCTGATGACAGGAATTTCAATATTCTAAACTGTACCCCTCCGGACCGCGCACGAAAACCTCCTAACCTAGAAGAATGTCGTTCTACAGCCAAGTATTTCATATTCTTACCTAAAAAATCAGTAATATTCAAATCAAGCTTATGTTGCTTTTCTTAGATAAAGTTTCGGAATATACTTGAAAGAAGAATAAATTCTTCTTTTAAGCACATGATGATAAGCTTTTCTAATACTTATGATGAGTATATTAAGAAACTAATATTAAGAAAATATTCTTTGTTAAAGAAAACTGTTACTCAAACCAAATAAAATAAAATGAGTAATTGCTTTTCTTGGCTATAGAACGATATTTTTCTGTGTGTATACATACACATATGCGCATATACATGCATATCCATACATATGTATAAATTATATTTCCTCTTCCAGCCTGCAAGAAACGAAGTACCCAGTTTACAAGAAATGTGGCAAGAATTACAAGTCCTTCGCCAAAGAGTAAATAATGATAATCAAAATGTTGGACATATTAGAAACCGCATCCAACAATTGGATATTAATGAAGAGGTTAGAAGAGGTGGGGGTGGGCGTGGACGAGAACGAGAACGAGGACGAGGACGAGGAAAAGGAAGAGGAAGAGGAAGAGGACGAGGACGAGGACGAGGACGTGGACAAAACTATGTTCACATACATAAAGGAAATATTTATGTTTACAATACCCATTAATTTCATAAATATGAAGCTCTTATATGTCGTGCATTAATAATAAATAAAGGATAAATATTAATAAAATTATATTAGTAGTAGTAGTAGTACAGAAGTGGGAGGTACCACCAAGGTCCCTATCGGCCACTAGATCTAGCTGATCCTCTGTGCCTTCCCACTCGTTTTCTTTGCTAGGTCTCGAGATACAGTCTTGAACCTTGTACCAGGTTTATCAGATCTGTAACCCTAGCATTTTCTAAATCCTGGGGGGTTAAAAACATACTCCCCCAGGTTTTGTATCTTTTGCATATAAATGCCGGGCATTGGCATATTATATGTACGTTGTCTTCTTTCTCGTCTCCGCAAAGGCGACATGCCTTTTGCTCCGCAAGCCCGAGATTAAAAAGGTGTGCTCTGAGTAAGGCAGAGTGACCAGTGAGCAGTCCCAACGCCATTCTCAGTTTCTGTTTACTTAGCGCCAGTAGTTCTTTAGCCCTACCTGGTCTGCTGTCTTTCATCAAAGTCCTGGCCTGGCGGCAGGTTTCTAACTTCTCCCACCTGGCCAGGTGTTCCCTTTTCAGGCGACCTTTGATGATTTCTTTGCCTACTGCAAAGGGTATTCCCGTCACCTGGCCAATTGGTGCTTCATTAGCTCCCTTCTTGGCCAGCATGTCTGCGGTTTCATTCCCGGGTATTCCTTGATGCCCAGGCACCCATACTAACGTGACTTTGTTAGGTTCGCATAGTCTTTCTAATGCTAGCATGCAATCCCAAACCAATGCTGATTCAGTAGTTGTTTTTGCCAGCGCTTGTATGGCTGCTCTACTATCCGAGCAGATGTTTATCTTCTTTCCCTTCGTATCTTTGTTTAGCAGGTATTCCGTGCACTTTAGGATAGCCAGTATTTCAGCTGTAAAAACAGTTGAGTGGCTTCCCACAGGAATACTTTCCCTGTGGTTCTCCTTCGGCCCGTAGAATCCTGCCCCGAAGCAATCATTAATGCCTGACCCATCAGTGAACCATAGGTCCACATTGGGATCCCCGACTCCCTTCAGGTCAGACCAGTCTTTTCTAGTTGGTATTCGTATTTTGAAGTGCTTTACCAACTGGTATTTTTTAAGAATTTTATCTTGTTTTGAAGTGAAAGGGTGTTTCTGGAACAGGTCGAGCCTTGTGTGTCCCAATCCTGTATTTCTCCATTCTCCCTGACACTTTAGTCTGTATGCTGTGTTCCTTGCTGAGTTTACCACGGCCAGGTCCAGTGGAGGCACACAGAGTGCAATTTCTAGCGCCTCTGTGGGGGTAGTCCTCATAGCCCCTACTGCAGCCCTTAGGTAGCTACCTTGTAGGCTTTTCAGAAGGTTCTTTGCTTCCACTTTCTCTGTTCTGGGCCACCAGATCACAGATGCATAAAGTAGTCTCGGTAACAGTACCGCTTTGTACAACCATAGTGCTATGGGAGCTTTGATGCCCCAAGACTTTCCCATGGCTCTTCTACACATCCACATGCATGTGTAGAATTTTTTCCTGCTCTCTGCAAGGTGTACTTTCCAGTTAAGTTTGGTATCTATATGTAGTCCCAAGTATTTAACTGAGGTTGTAAAGGGGATTACCTTCCCCCAGAGCTTAAGAGGCTCAATGGGTTCTGGTTTGTATTTCCTAGTGAAGACCATTATATTTGTCTTTGATGGATTAACCATCAATCCCTTGGCCTCACACCATTTTTGGACGATCTTTAAGGCATCTTTCATGCGGTCCCTTAGGGTATCTAAAAAGGATCCTGTGATCACTATAGCTACGTCATCCGCATAGCCACAGGTCAGGAACCCCTTCTTTTGTAGTTTCACCAAAAGATCATTGACTACTAGGCACCACAGCAGAGGGGACAGAACCCCACCCTGCGGGCACCCCTTGCTTGGTTTACCAGTGATACTAATATTACTTTGCGTGACTGTTAGGTTCCTCCCCGCTAGCATATCCTCCACCCAGTCTACTAGCGGTTCCGGGACCCCATGTGCAATCATTGCTTCCTTAATGGCCTTGTTCGAGGTGCTATCAAACGCCCCTACGATGTCCAAGAAGGTTCCAATAGCGTATCCTTTCGCCTCCAGCTGCTTCTCTATCTTGCCTATCAGGTGGTGTAGGGCAGTTTCCGTAGACCTGCCCTCCCTGTAGGCATACTGAGCACTGGCTAGAGGGTGGTCCGCTAATGGTCCATCCTTGAGAAACCTATCAATTAGCCTCTCCAAGGTCTTTAATAGAAAAGAGGTCAAACTGATGGGTCTATAATCCTTGGCTTTAATGTGTCCATTTCTGCCAGGCTTAGGTATGAAGACCACTCTAGTGGCTCTCCATGCTTGCGGGACATATCTCAGAGCTATGCTTGCCCTAAAGATTTTAGTCAATGGGCCTACCAGCTCTTCGAGTCCCTCCTGTAGGAGCAGAGGGAGTACGCCATCCGGTCCCGGAGCCTTATAGGGCTCAAAGGAGCGAACCGCCCACTCCACCGCTTGTGGATAAACCACCTTTGCCGCCAACGCCCAGGCCCTGGGCTTATAAACGGCCCTAGGTTGTCGTTGTTTCTCCGTGGCTGAAGAGGACTTTTGAAATCCCGGGAAGTGAACCTCCATGAGATGATTCAAAGTCTCCTCAGTTGTTTCTGTGAATTCTCCATTAGGGAGCTTGAGACAGCTCCACTGTGGGTCACTCTCTTTGCAGAGGATCTTGCAGAGTCTGGATGCTTCTGGAGCACTCTCAATCCCCTCGCAGTAACTCCTCCACCCCGTTCTTTTGGCGTTGACTATCGTCTTTTTGTAGTCTCGCTGGGCAGCCTTATGCTTTTCCCAGGCTTTCAACGTATTTACATTTTTAGCCCTATTGAAGAGTCTTCTTACACCGGCCCTGAGCCTCGATAGCTTTGCATTCCACCATGAGGCACCGGCCGAGGCATTTCTTGGCCTCAATGGGCAATTTAGTTCAAAGGATTCCCTGATAGCGTCGCTTACGAAGCTCGCTGCGATCTCCAGGTCCTCCTTTGTATGGAATTTGGTCGGCGTATTTTTTAGCCGACTGACTAAGTCGGCTCTAAAGCCCTCCCAGTTTGTTTTCCTGGGGTTTCTCCCCCACTGTTCATCTTTCTGTAAGTTCACAAGGTCGAAGCGGATCTGTCTGTGGTCGGACCCTGAAGGTTCATTTGAGACCCTCCATCCCGCCACCAGATCCACCACACCCCTCGTGCACAACGTAATGTCTATCACTTCCAGTCTTCTAGAGTCCAGGAAAGTGGGTTCTGTTCCTCTATTTAGGATTTGTAAGTTAGTGCTCATGATGAAGTCAAGTAGGCTCTCCCCTCTTGGGTTTATGTCGGAGCTTCCCCACACCAAATGGTGTGAGTTCGCATCACAGCCCAAGAGGAGCTCTAGTCCCCTTTCCTTCGCATAAGTTACTAGCTCTATCATGTTTCTTTGGGGGGGTAGTTCCTCCAAATCGTAGGGCATGTAAACAGACCCCACTATCAGGTCCCTGACCCCTCCATCGTCTGTATTGAGTTTCAGCCTTACAGCTACTAAATCGCCGTCGCTGAATTGTGGTAATAGACAGGCATCCAGACCTTTCGCCACAATACAGGCTCTTGGTCTTTCTGCGTTGTCTGCTTTGAACAATTTACCACAACCTCCAAGGCCCTTAATGTGTCCCTTGACGAGCCACGGCTCTTGGATGAGGAATAAATGCTTTGTGTGCATCACAGCTGCGCACCTGGCTAGAACCGCCGAGGCGCTTTTGCTGTGATGCAAGTTGATTTGAGTGAAGGGGATATTAGAGCCTGCCATTGATTAGGCAGTCTCCGATCTATCCTCCTTCCTTCCTAACTCCCCCCTGCGGTCCCCCCCAGGCAACCTAACTGTCGCCTGGCTGAGTCCGCAGAAGGGTTTAAAGTTGAGCGCTTTAAGAGCACTCAACGCTCCCTCCCCAATAAGGGCCGCGAAGTGGGTGCTCGTAGCATCCCTACTTTCGCTACCCCTCGCGACCACCCAATCCGCGGCTTGGAGACCCTCATTTTGTCTGTCAAGTAGCTCTATCGCTTCCTTGACAGGCATCTTAGGGTCCTCTACATGCACTACCACTCGATGCCGCCTAGGCAGCTCATCGAGCCGCATTGCACGCAGCCGGACCCCGTTAAGGTCTATTACCGAAGTTAGGCTTCAAAGCCACCCTTCGGTTTCTACATCGGTGCAGTTAAAAATGACTGCACCGTCCCTATCTGAGGTGCCCTTGAAGGTGGGAGCTTTAGTACCCCTCGCAATGC